TGGACAGAGGGGGAGCAGCAGCTGCCCAGCCCCAAGGAGATTTACAACCAGTTTGAGTTGATTCTCACCCCTGATGTGAAGGTAATGTTAGTGGGTTATTTTCATCCTGTGGTTGGGAAGGAGATATTGGGGGCCTTTGCCAGTTGCTGAAGAAAGTCCAGGCAGGATAGACTGAGCAGGTTAACCAGTTCTTGAGCCCTCAGGGGGCCTCTTAGACTCCTGGCAAACGGCTTCTTGGCAGACGGACCTTTCACAGTCTGCCTCAGTCATTCATTCTCCACACATCTTCACGAGCATCTCTCATGTATCGTGCACTGTGCCAAGAACCAACAGTAAACAGAAATAGACACGGTTCCATCCCGCATGGAATTTACAGTGTAGTGGGAGAGGCTGACATTAATAAATGTCAAACACAAAACATAAAAATGTGTTCCAAGCTGAAATGAGTGCTCTGGAGTTGGGATTCAGGGCCCTATCGGGTATGTGACAGCGGAACTTGACCTGGCCTGGGGGTCACTTGGAGCAAGTCCTAGAGAATGAGTAGAGAAGATGGGGGTCCTTTTCAGTAGCATGTGCAGAGGCTACAGGGCTGGAGGGAGCCTGGCGCAACTGCAGAACTCAAGGGTCAGGGTGGCTGGAGTACAGAGAGCAGACAGAGAATGTTTGGGGTAAGATTAGAGAGGGAAAGACGAGGTGGGGCTCTGTGGGCCGTTTTAAGGAGTTTGGCCTTTCTTCTCAGAGCAGCGGGAAGCCACTACAGAATTTAAGCAGGGGAGTAACTTGATCTGATTTGCATTTGAGAAGAGCACTCTTCTGTGAAGCCAGCGAGTTATGGATAGCACGCCTTCCTCGGATACCCACATCAGTTTGCACGCACCTCTGCTCGAAAGGCTTCTTCACCTCTTTTGAGTCATGGATCCTTTTGAGAATCTGATTCACCTATTTTTAGGGAGTTTGATGTAGGCAGTTTTTACAAAGATACAGGCAATCCAACAGGGATGGTGAAGCCTCTTGGGGCCAGCAAGAAAGAGGGAGCAGTTACCACTCCTAATCCTGAAAGGCAAAGGGATCTTTGGAAGCGAATCAGCTGTGACTGTAAGAGAGGCAGCTAGTACGGCTGTGGCCTTGGGCAGAGGAATACTAGACACTGGTGGAGAAATATATACCGCTACACTGAAAGGTCACAGGTTCGATTCCCAGTTAGGACACATACCCAGATTGTGGGTTCTATCCCTGGTCAGGGTGCATTTGGGAGGCAACTGATCAATGTTTCTCTCTCTCCCTCTCCATTTCTCTCTCTCTAAAATAAATTTTTTATTAAACAAATATAAAACAGCTGTAGCCGGTTTGGCTAGTGGATAGAGAATCGACCTGCGGACTGAAGGGACCTAGGTTTGATTATGGTCAAGGGCATATGCCTGGGTCGCATGCTGGATTCTCAGTGGGGGATCTGCAGGAGGCAGCCAATCAATGATTTTTTCTTATCATTGATGTTTCTATCTCTCTCCCCCTTCCTCTCTGAAATCAATAAAAATATATAATTTTTAAAAAGAATGAAACAGACCAAAATATCCCCAAAGCCTATCTATTCTTTTAGTTTGAAGTAAAATTCTAGGTTATAAGATTAAATATACTATGTGTCAGAGAATGTTTTATCCACTGAGGGGTAATGACTTTGTTGTCAAATCTGGTACTTTACACATATAAAAATATTCCAAGATATATGTATATACACAGGTTGGTGTAGACACGTGGTTCTCTTTACTTGGGTAGCAGAGAGGGCCTAGAAACAATGAGACACCAATATCAATGAGCACACCTACCACCCAGAGCTTGGTTTCTAATACTATTCTCCAAGAAAAGAGACCCCGGCTCCTTGGAGATATGACTGATTCTTGGACTGGGGCAGGAAATATACAAGGTGATCTTGGAACATCTTACCAGGTAGAATGTCAAAAAGTCAGGAATTGCTAAAAAGCAAAACAAACCACAGTGATGGGACATAGGAGGCAATCGAAAGAGCTCCCCATGGCCAAAGCTGGAACCATCTGAGCAACAGAATTAATAGAGTAGTATTGGATTACAACCCAAAGTATAAAATAGATCTCCACGACTCCATGCTGATATAAATAAATGGTGGAATAGATAAATAAATAGATGGGGAGAGGAAACTAATCTCACATGCAGAAGAATTCCAAATTATTTATGTAGATCTTAGCCCTCATGGAGGTGGAGCAAGACTTCCCCTCCTTAAGGGGCTACACATAGTGACTTTCTTCCAAAGGGTACAATATGGGAAGGGAGAGATGGAAGAATGACTTCACAGCGGAGAAAACTAATACACTACCCCAGCCAGGTGATCAAGGTCAACATCAACAGTATTAAGTCATGCACATGGTATGATGTGATGTGAAAAAAATGGCACTTCTATGGTCTTCTCCCCGCAAAAAACGTCACTTCAGTTTAATCATGAGAAAAACATCAGAGAAATATCAACCAAGGGACAGTCTACAAAATACCTGACCAATACTCCTCAAAGCGTCAAGGTCATCAAAAACCAGGAAGGGCTGAGAACTGGTCACAGCCAAGAGGAGCAGAAGTCATGACAACTAAATGTAATGTGGTATCTTGATGAAACCCTGGGGGAGAAAAGGGCACATTAGGTAAACAGTAAGGAAACCTAATTAAAGTATGTACTTTATTTAATAGTAATGTAGCTTATTTAATAATTTTGTACTTTATTTAATAAAGTATGTACTTTATTTAATAATTTTTTAAAAATCAGAATAATGTATCAATATTGATTGATTAATTATAACAAATGTACCATAGTAATGTAAGCTGTTAATAATAGTGGAAAGTGGCCGTGTAGTATATGGGAACTCTTTATACTATTTTGCAATTTTTCTGTAAATCTGAAACTATTCTAAAAAATAAAATTTGTTTCTAAAGAGCTGGTACTCATCGCTTCTTGGCCTTTTGGCTAAGATCAAGTGTAAAAAGCTGGTACTCTAAGTCTAAAAGGTTGAATCTGTTACATTTCATACATAACAATTATCAACACAACATCAGCCATTACACTGTTATTCTTGTAGCAGCCACCTGTCTCTGTCTGAGGCTCCTGGAGGCATTTCCCTAGTACATGGCGATTGAGCTGTCCCCTTAGTGCCGCTGTGTTGATTTTTCTCCCTCATTCTCTCTCAGCGCCCCGTGTAAAGAATGACACAATCTCAGTAGCAAATTGCAAAATTCAGTTCTTCAAATGTTTCTTGGGTACCCAGTTTGTGCTTTATTCTGAGAATACAGTCTGGTACAGAGCCCACAGTCACAGTGCTGACAGTGGAGTGGAAGACAAACATTTCCCCAGCAATGCTCCTAGGTCCAAGAGCATTTAAAATGGAGGGACAGAGGTAACACAAGGGAGGCAGTGGTCAGAATCAAGTATGAAGAGCCTGGTGCCGCAGGATGAGGCGTGAGGTGTCACTGCAGGGCTTTTGAACAGGTGAATTACATGATCAGATTTAGCTTTCAGAAAGATAATTCTGAAGAAAAAAAAAGGAAAAAGATAATTCAGATTGTGGTATGGAGAGTGGACTTGCAAGTAAAAATAGGAGAAAAGGGGGAAATGCAGTTGTTAATCTTGTACCAACTCCCCTCTGGTTTGAGCTTAGGAATTTAGGGTCTCTTCTGAATACCTCAGTTTAATTCAGGGAACCATTTGCAGGGTTCACTCTGGGGTCTTAAGGGATAGATGCAAAAGAGCAAAGATGATTCGGGTCCTGTCCGGTCCACATGGTGAGTCGTTGGGGTCTAGCATGTGGCACTGACCTCACACCAGGGATGCACAGCGTATGTCATCAATTTGACAGTCATCCATCCAGTCAGATGTCTTCTCTTTCTGCAGCAGCTAACACCTAAGTCTCAGTTTCCTCAAACTCATCACTGGGCCACCAGGACAGGTAGTGGAGGCTGATCACCATCAAACTGACTTTGCCTTCACCCTGACGTAAGGGAATTTGGTTTCTTTGGGGACTTGGACTCATAGCCGTGTTCTCAGAACCTCCGATGCGTTGTTCGGCCGTGCTTCCTGAGGTCAGGGCACATTCTCTGAAGAGACTCTTTAATCACAGACCCTGAGCTTAATCTAGTCCAGGGGTCAGCAAAGCATAGCCTGTGGGCCAGAGGGGCTGGCCATCTACTTTTGTATGTCAAGTTCGACCAGAACACAGCCACACTCATTCGTTTCTGTATTCTCTATGTTCTATGACTGCTTTTATGCAGCAACAGCCAAGTACAGGAGTTACCTCAGGGACCAGATGGCCTGCTAAGCCTGAAGAGTTTTACTGTTTGGACCTTTACCGAAAAGTTTGCCAAACCCTAGTCTAGACCAACCTGTCCAATAGAAATATAGTGCAGCCTGGCTGGTGTAGCTCAGTGGTTGAGCATCAGCCCAGGAACCGAGAGGTTCAACTCCCCGTTAGGGCACATGCCAGGTTCTCGGCTCGCTCCCCAGTAGGGGGTGTGCAGGAGGCAGCCAATCAATGATGTTTCTCTCTCATCAAAGTTTCTATTTCTCTCCCTTCCTCCGTCTCTAAAAATCAATAAAAATAGTTTTAAAAAAGAAATATAGTGCAAGTCACATATGTGAGCTAATGAGATTTTCTAGTAGCCACATTTTAAGAAGTGAAAAGAAACAAGTGAAATCAAGTTTAATAATGTTTTATTTAACCTATATCTGAAACAGCCTTTCAACATACAATTGATATAAAAAAATTAGTGAGATATTTTATGTTCTTTTTGCATGTGAAGTCTTCAAAATCCAGTGTGTATTTTCCACAGCTCAGTTCACACCAGACACATTTCAGGTGCTGAAGAGCCTCATAGGCTAGGGCAGTGATGGCGAACCTTTTGAGCTCCGCGTGTCAGCATTTTGAAAAACCCTAACTTAACTCTGGTGCCGTGTCACATATAGAAATTTTTTGATATTTGCAACCATAGTAAAACAAAGACATATTTTTTATATTTATTTTATATATTTTAGTGCCATTTAACAAAGAAAAACCAGCCCAGAAAATGAGTTCGCGTGTCACCTCTGACACGTGTGTCATAGGTTCACCATCACTGGGCTAGTGGCTACTAGATGGACAGTGTAGGTCTGCACTCAGGCCCTGCAAAGAGTGAGATGAGCCCCAGCTCTTGGTGCAGAGGTCAGCCTTGACAGGGCGGAACAGTTTTTCTATTACTGACACTCCTGCCCTGCCTCCGAGATACTGGCTCCTTCCCTCAGAAGATGGCCCAGCATAAAAAAAAAGACAAATTTACTTGTATAGTTGCAAAATGTGGCAACCTCCGTGGGTGTGTGCTGAGCTTGTACTTTCAGAATTAGGCATCCTCGAAGCACCCTGCATAACTCTTCTAATTCTGGGTCCCTTTTCTGATGGTTAAACTCATCCACGAGACACATGTCAGAGTCAGCAGGACAAAGAAAAGGTACCCACTTTTCCTTGATCCACTAGAGCTAGAGGGATGTTATGCTGCAAGTGAGGCCAAAAGAAACATTCAGCTGAATTCAGGCCTTGGTGAAACTCAAAGACATTTGGGTCTTGTTTCTTATTTCCTGAGTCCCTGCTTTAGAGCATGTAGTCAGTTTTGGAAATGTCTGTGAGTTTCATTTCTCCCCTGGTATTTCTTCAGTTTCTTTCTTTCCTACTTATATAGAGAGAAGGAGTCACACTGAATAACACTTACATGTGTTGTGTGGATTTTTAAAATGTATATACTAGAGGCCCAGTGCACGAAATTTGTGCACATGGGGGGGCCCTCGCAGCCCCGGCTTCATCCAGGTTGTCCGGACGGTTCAGATTTTTTATTTTTCCCATTATTCAAGTCTGAAAAGC